AGGTGTTTACCATCGTTGTCGGGATTCGCGCGGTTGGTTTCCAGCGTTCGCTTAACGAGATTCTCAAATCCTCTTAAGCGCTCGGTATCCGCGTTGACAGACTTGACCTCGCTTTCTTCGAAATCGATAATACGTCCGCGGCCCCGAAATTGCGCTATCTCAAACAAGTAATCACCCAATAATAGAAAGAAAGAAAAAATTTCTTTAATTAATCAGCGCGAAGGAAATTCGGAAGAGATTATCGCGCAGAATCGATTTGATTTATAGAGTTTAATCGATTTCGGCAAGATTTGCTCGAGATACTGCAAAACTCTCGATCAGACAATGCGTTTCTGCGCATTGTTATCTACGTAAACGTTTGCTTCCAAAGGAATAATTAATCACCAGAGCGTAATCTAAGATCACCCGCTTTGTAAACACGATACCCTTCCTACGCGGCGTAAGCTAATCGCGCGATCACTCTCTACGATTAGATCCATCACGATATTCTGTGCAACGCCAAATGACGATTACCAAATCTTAAGTACGCTCAAATGCAAAATTAAATATTGGTTAATGCACAATGTACTGCGCTGAGATAATTAGACCTTTCGCGATTTAAGAAAATTGTAATTTAGTTTTAACAAAAAAAAAAAGAACACAATTAGCTCACTTTTCAATAATAAAATAGCGTCTCAATCAATTCTATTTTTTTATTATTACTATTACAAAATACTTTATTCAATACTTTACGCAATTTGTGCGTATATTTTTTAATTTGCATCTCGTTTCCATTGCGTTTTCTATTCTTTCATCTACATACGCAGATAATCGTTTTCTTGTGTGCGTCGCTCAAAGCCTTCACTCTGGCATTTGCAGCGACTTCCAGCGGCATTCCAGTTCTCGACACATTGCCGTCTCGTCTGTTGAATCTCTCTTTCAATGTTCTCAGCTCGATATTCATATCGTGGATTAATCCCCGCGTAGATTGTGTCGTCAAAAGTCCGACAGCCGGCAACGTCGGCATGTCGGAACGCTCGCAAAAAGGTGCCGTCGAATTCGAAATTGCTTTCGCCTCGCGAAAGTCCCTCGCATAGAACTGCTAATCCGTGCCGGGGATCTAAACGGTTGCCAATCATTTCCGGTTCTCGGATTAGTCGCGCGTCGAAAAGTCAGCGAGAACTCGTACGTAAGGGCGTGAAACGGCCCTCCGGCGGTACCTTCCGGAGACCAATACAGAGGTGACAACAATGTGATCCTGGGGACGAATGTTGGCTTGGTAAGCGGATTACAAACGATTCGTACACGCGCCCAAGAAATGATATTCCGCGTGAAGAAAGATCGGTTTTTTCACGCCTTTTTCACACACACAGCCGGCTAAAACGGAGTGCATTGATCCGACGTTAAAATCTGTGTTAAAAGAAATATATAACTGGCAGATATTTATTGTGTCTTAAATGCATATTTGTTTTGACTCTGCGCGCGTTACAATGTAATCTTAAATTACATAAATATACTCCAAGTTTTTATTTTCGAAAGAAAGCCAAAATTTCAACTCGTGTTTCTACTATTATTGGTCAAATAATTGCTCGCAAATAAATTGTTAAATAAATTTTTCCACTACCGGCAAACTTTAGATGTAAATATGCAGTATAATTCTACGATGTAAATCAGTAATGAGTGTTTCGTCAATAAGTCAATGCACTGAAAATTAAAAAGCAACCAGAGAAAAACACGTAATCTAAATATAGCGAAAAAGCAATTTCATACGCACGTTATAAGATGTAAAGATAAATCTAGATTACGTTACAATGCAGAATATTCTTTTTTGTATGCGTTTCGCTCGATGCAATATTAAAAAAACCGCAGACGGCTACCTTAGATTGCCCTTCGTTAATAATTCTCCGTTCATCAGCTTAACATGCGTAATTGTCGCGTAAGGACATGCTCAGGACGATAATTAGGGCCTGGCGATCCCAGCGCAAGAAGTAAACAGCTAACGAGCGATCAGCGGCGCAGCGCATGATCGATGCGTAAATCCGCCGGCAATTACGCCTGACTGTTAGTCCGACGTTAATAATTTTCTAATCAACGCCGCGTGAAAGATCGATCGTATTTGTACCGTGACGAGCCGCGGCGTCGCTCGGTCCCGCCGCTGCGATGGCGGAATGTAATAATCGAGACGGGAAATTGGAATGGACGGGCGGAAGAAGGGGGGGAGGGGGGAGGTTTCAACGGGGGCCGCCCCGTAAAAAATCACCTGGGCCAATCTACGTGAAAGCGTGCGGCGCGGCAATTACATCGGCGTTACTCCTCCTAATTGTCCTTCATTAATAATTCTGCGACCGCAGTACGGATGGCGTACCACGGAAGGTGGATACCATTTACGCATTGACGATTATAGTCGCGCGTGAGACCGACCGCGCGGCTGATAACGCCAATAACGAGCGCTATTAGCTTAAAAAAGAAAAATAAACTCTCGTTTCGCGTTTTAATACGCGCTTTAATGTTGCGCTGCTCTCGCAGAAGCGTCGCAAACCTTTTACAAGGCCTTTGTGACAGCTCGACAGCTGACCAAGACTTTGTTTGTCTCAAGGAGCTGGTTCGATTACAATAAATAACGTAGAGAAATGTTGATTTGTCGCCACGAACGCGACAGATTTGTTAATATTATAATAAATTTGTAGTGTAGTAATAAAAATTGACCGCGGTTACACATCTTTCTTAATAGACCATATATTGAAATTTCGTATTTTTTTTTATCGATTATTGTTAGCCAGGTATCATTGTTGTTCTTCATATCAATTGATCTGATTAACTGAATATCCTGATAAACATAATACGTCAGTAGATTATATTAAAAATATTGCTTGAAAAGTCTCTTCTCTCTAGATACAATATCATTGACTCAAGTTTACAAAAAATCTATCAGCATAAATGATTTTTAGAACATATGGATTCTTTAGTACATAGAAAAATATGTACAAGGCTGATTTTTTTTAAGGCAATGTTAAATATATTTCAGCAGATAAAAAATATTTTCCTCCGACCAACGTGTTTCCACAAGCCGTTATATATTCCGTTCGGATTTAGGTATAATCGGTCACACAGCGCACGTAAGCGATCGTGTCGCGCGATTTAAGCTCAGCACGATCGGCATACATCCCTTATCGCGGGCATTTTTCCCTATTCCCCGTGTCACCCCCGCGTGGCGCAGGCAAGGACGACGATTATCGATTACCATGACGTGACTCTCGAGATTTCCAAACGCTGCGCCGGGCCTGGTCATTGGTCTTGTCCATGAAACACTTAAGGGGAGTTATAAATAGCGACGCGGTGCAAGGTGCGAGCCGTCGCGGCGAGTCAATGTCGTAGAAAAATCGGCGCTTTAATAGCCCGCTGCTGTTTTCACAAGGAAGGAGCGCCGGATTTAGTGCCGCGGAAGCTGTATTAGTGTTATCCGTCGCCCGTCGTCGCCTCTAATCACATCGCCGTCGTCCACGTAATTGTTGGTAATGCGCTTCTTTGAAGAAATAAGCCGATTATGGGATAAACAGCCGGTTTTGGTTCGTTGTAGCGAGCGGCTTCGCGGCGGAGAGTGTCGCATTTAAAAACAAGCAACTCGGGGGAAAAGGAGGACGATCGGTCGGAGGAAAAAGCTGTGAATTAACAGAAATTGTGCCGATACGCTCGGCGCAGGCCGCCTTAATAGCCCCTTCGACGAGTTCCGAGAGAAAATGCGCGACCGCGGCTTTTTATGATTACTATGTAACGACGCAATGTGCATTAGCATGTGCGCAGTAAAGATCGGGCACTCCTCAAACAGGTATTATATTTACATTAATGTTCGCGGCTTTATGCGTGTCATAAAGTCAAATTGTCATGTCAAGTTATTAATTGACGTGTCTACTTAAAATAATTAATGAAAACGCCGGCCGTCAGTTAATTAAAAATCGATTCTAACATGAGTAACGACTCGTGTGTGGATTTTGCGCGTAATACGAGTGCCCCGGCACTCTTGCGAAATTCGGCGTCGCACGATCAAAGAGAAGTTACGACGACTTAGCACTCACTCAGCCCGGGGGATTGAAGTTCGGAGGACAGCAGCGCACAGGTAGAAAAGATGAATGAAACAAATGAGGGTAACATAATTAAAGCTTTCGAGTGCCGAGCTCCAATTTAGAACCATTAGAATTCCTAAACGTTGTCGGCCCAATGGGCCCAACGACTTGAAAGAGGAGATAGACGTTTATCTCCGCGTAGATGTATCTGGTTCTCTCGAAAGAGAGGCGCGCAACCAGCGACGGTCGGCGTGATCTCACCGATTGGAATATCCGGTCGAAAGGGACCATGCCCCGTATGTGTCCTTGACACCTCCGTGAAAGTCCACGCGAGCAAACAGATGAACGGGCGAAATCGCGAAACACAATGTCCGATTATCTTTTCTCGCATAATAAACGTCGCTGTAGCGCTTTCGAGAAATTTTTATTATCTTCTATTTCAATGTGGAATATATTTGTGGATTTGACTAAAGCGATATAAAAGTTTTGATAATAAATTAATGAGTTATATTTTTTATATATCTTTAAAATTATTTATTATGAAATTACTTAAGCGAAGAAGATAAAGTAAACCAGATTTCTTCGTGATTTTCGTGAGAAACAGAAAAGATTCGATAAAACCGCACAAAAATTGAATAGCCAATATTTGATAGAATTTTAAGCCGCGTATTTAAAATAATCTTAAATTTTGCAATTAAAGTAATAGAAGTATGCAACTCTGCCCGCTTAATCCGCTCATCTGTTATTTGTTCTACAACGTGTTTTTCAAAAATTTAACATAATTCATTTTTATCACGATTATGCCGGAAACGTAATCCTTGCTTCCGGTCAAGAGATCATTGTCGACATGGAAACGTCGATAAAAAAAAGAGCCGTGCACACCGACATCACTCCGACTTCATCACATCGTTAAACCGAGCGACGAGCAGTTTCGAAAGCGTGTAATAAAGTATCATTTACCATTGGACGTAACGGAAGCGCCGTCGTGGTGGCTGGCATCGCTGTCCTCGTCCAGATTACTGTTGCTCAAGGACGTTCTGGATTGATGCCTGACACTGAGGTCCCGCGGCGTCGACGGTGGACTTCCGGGTGGCTCCTGGCTAGGCAGTCCAGTCTGATGCATCTTGCTAGACGCGCCGCCGAGGATATCGGTGATCATGAACCGGGATCTCTGCGGCATCGTCGTCGAGGCATCGCCTCTCTCCAGTCCGTTGTTGTTGCTGAGATTATTGTTGCGCGAGTCCAAACCGTTGGAGAGACGTTCGACGGCCACGCCGTTTCGGTCGACAATGTTTTCCAACCGGTGAGCCTCCAATCCGGACATTCTGCTAAGATTCAGACCGTTATTGGCCACGGCGACGCCACTGAGAGCGGCCACGTGGTGGTTCTGCTGATGATGGACCGTCATCACGGTAGACGCAGGTGGTTCCTTCGGGCTACGGGCACCCGCAGGTGCCTCTGTCGCCACCCCAGGACTCGCCCGGAACCTAGGAGACAGAATCTTGCCGACGGTGACGACGTAGCCTAAGCGCTAGGAAGTCGTGCCCTCACTGTTTCAACTTCACTTCACTGTAATCCGGGCGGCCTCGAATTTTTCGATCACTCTTCCCCTCTCGCGTGTACGACGAGCGTGTTACTTGACATTCTCGACTCGCTGGTCTTAAACCCGTTACGATCAAGCGTGGATCTTCCAACAAAGGAGGTCGAGAAATGTTTTTCGCGCTAGCGTCGAGAGCATAAATATGCTTAGCGATTGAATGAGTGGATCGCAGAGAAGCAGAACTTCGTCGTGCCGCGCAAAAGCGCGAAAACAATTTGGAGAACAGATCGGCGAAATAGCTCGCAGAGAAAATCTGAAGTAAATGGCGCGTGGGACAGATATTCACGTCGGTGATGCACCTTGCACTTCCTCCCGTTCACTCGGTCGCTCCACCTCCGCCACCACCTTCTTCCCAGGCGCAATTAAGGGGGCCGCTCGGCTCGGCTCCCTGGTTAATTGCTAATTGGCCACTTAACATAATTGCCGCGCATAAGAGCGAAGCCGCCGGCCATTTCCGCTTTCCTTTTTCTCCTTTTCCTTGCTCGTTCAATTATTAATTATTTTTATATAAGAGTCCGCGCGTTCCTCTCACTTTTGCACGATTACGTGTCAATGGAACGACGAATTTGTTACTCGCGAGTGTGAAAACAAGTTCGAGATCTCCCACTGTTTGCCAAGCGATCGTTTAATCCTGGAATAAATGTCACAAGACTTCTTAAAAGTTCTTAAACATTGGCACACCTCCGCATTATTTTTCCAGATCACGATTGTGCATACCGAATGAACGATTATGGGCGATCACATCTATCAGAGTCCGATCAGTTCAGCAACCGTCACTCGATCGGTCTATCTCGATTGCGTACGTTTCGAAAGTCTGTGTTTAACCGGCTTATCGCGGTCGCCTGTCACACGTGCCAGAATTGATCACTCTCGCGGTGAGACTTTCATCAGCACTTACCGATTTCGAACCGTCGACGATATCGTTTTAGTCTATCGGCACTGTTCTCCTTCAAATTGCACTGTCACCTAGTTTGTCATTCACGTCGCTGCGTTAAGTCATCCGGATCACTTGACAGTATCGAGTTAAATTTAACAAGTGTTTTTTCTTAATTAGCTCTAGATCGATTACTCGTCACAACGAATCACATAAGATAACTTCTCGACCCGATTGATCGATCAACAACGTCTTCCGATTCCAGAATCGGACAATTGTATACGTGCCATTCCGAGATAGAGGGTCGATCTGATGCAAATGATTCACTCTAGCGTTCGCCGGAAGGAGAATCGCTCCAAACGGCCTGTCCAGAGCTGAAGACGTAGTCGTGACGCACGAGGCGTGCGTGAGCATCGACTTGCCTCGACTGATCTGCCTGCACTGAGGGCAGCGGGCACCGCCGCTCGTTCCTGGGCGGCCATATCGAGATTTTGGCACGCCCCGCGGTTTTCCCACCACCGATTGCTCCGAGCCAATCCCGCTCGACGCCGTTAAGCATCCCGCCAATCCCAACTGAAACAACCTCAGCGCCTCTGCTATGTGGCACGGCTACGCCCAAGTAATTTGAAATGTGTTTCAGCGGTAATTCGATATAAAATTGTAGTTAATATCTTTCATTATA